TAAAGAAGAAGAAGAAGAAGAAGAAGAAGAAGAAGAAGAAGAAGAAGAAGAAGAAGAAGAAGAAGAAGAAGAAGAAGAAGAAGAAGAAGAAGAAGAAGATTTTTTAAAGTGCTGATTAAGTTTAGAATATTGTTTAGATCCCCGTTCTAGCCTTATTTTGATTTATTAAGGTATGCTTTTATGTCAAATATGCAATGTTTTTGGCGAGATTTGAACATGTTTTGGATGATTAGTTACGAACGGCCATACTGCTAATCATTACTAACGCACATTATGCCTTGCTACCCTTGAGGCACCAAAGCCCTGAATTTTTAAAGTACATGTATTAAATCACCTTGCTTGTGTGTGATGCACATGATCCCAATGTTTGAACTGTTTCCTTTCACACATAGCCCATCTTTCAAAACGCCTCTCTTTTACAGGGGGGTCACCTGCGATCTACATAAAATTATTTAGAGAAGTCACTGCCGCCAAGGGTAAAACCATTGTTTTAATTTTCGGAGAAACAGTCTTGAACAGTGACCTTTGTTCCCTCTCTAAGAATAGTATCGAACTAAAACTATAATACAGAGCCTTTTGCAAACTACACCTGGTCGATCTGGATCTTCGCTTTTGCATGTATAAGACCTGAGTTCGATTCCCGTGTTGGAACAATTTTCATCGAGTATCTCGGTCTTTCGGTTGGGACATTGTATCATTCTGGTCCTGAGTTGGCTCTGAATATTGTGTCGATGGAGAACGTGAATTTCTACATTTAAAAGGGGAAAAAAACTTTAACACCACGTAGTTGATGGGTCGACGGACCTCCCGTAACTCAGACAAACTACTCCTACTTCCCCAGGCTCTGTGTACCAGCCAGCTATACCAAGCACAACTTTCTACGCCTCAGGGGCCTTCACATTCACGCCAAAGACTTTGGGCGTCCTGGGGGAGGACTCGGTGTTGGACATTGACAAACTACAGAGGGCGGCGGAGCAGCACTGTAGACGGGTGTGGTATTCCTCTGTCCCTTTTTTCTGTCTTACATTCTATTTTCCTTTGGCTCTCTTTCTTTCTTTCTTTCTTTCTTTCCTTTCTTTCTTTCTTTCTTTCATTCTCTCTCTCTCTCTCTCTCTCTCTCTCTCTCTCTCTCTCTCTCTCTCTCTCTCTCTCTCTCCCTCTCTCCCCCTCTCTCTGTCATTGTTCTCTCTGTGAAAAAGGAACGACAGGACTGTTAGCCATGAAGCCGTGAAGGTCACCCTGAGCCTTTTCTCTGCCCCGATTTCGGCATTTTTCCCATTTTCCTCCTTATAAATCTGTTGTATTCTGTGTACTCTTGTGTTCCAGGTACCGAAGTCAAACATTGATCGTTTGTTAAACTAATTGAACGGGTGAATAAATAACTTCTTTCTGAACCGATTGAATGGTTAAATGAATGAATGGTGAATCGATTTAAATATATCAATGGCTGACTAATCGATTGATTGACTGAGTTACTAACTAGTGAACAGATTGAATAGGTAAAGGGATGACTGGGGAAGCAGTTGACTGAGTAGATTGATTGATTTATTAATTGCTAAGTTGACCTTCTGATTAATTGATCAATTTATGATGGGTTGACTGAAAAAAACTGATTGAAGAGTCAATCGACCGATTTCTCTTTATCCCAGGATCTGGATACAGCTGTGGCACAGGGTGTAAACAAAGCCTACGCTTCAAGCGACTGTCTGATCGGCTTGTACACGCCCACCCTGCTCACTCTTTCCTACGGGTTCCCGCGAGACGCCAACAACATCCGGGTCGTCTCCAAAATACGCGGGGAGCGAATAGGTAAGAACGTGAATGGCAGATTTCGTTTTTTTCCCTTTATTTGTTAAAAAAAAAAGGGAGCGAGGACACCAGCGGTGGGTAGTCATTGATGTCTAGTAACAACAAAAAATTTGGAAAAGACAATTGTAGCTCCTAGAGCTCTGAAATTGACTGTTCTTTGTAACAGATATTGGCCGCTTACTTTATTGTAGAATGGTTCCTGTTCTCACTGGAAAAATAGAGGGTACGAGAGGCAGAGGTAGACCAAGAATAGCATACATAAGACAGATGATGGCGAAAGGCCGAGGTCTTTTTCTCTTTTAGAGTATCCAAGCAGAGTACTAGTGGCAAACCATGATAACCGATCTCTGTTTAACATCTGGCATTTGGAGAAAAAAAAGATGTTGAATGGAAAGGGTTTATGTTTTAGTGAAGAAAAGTAATATTGGTATAATAACAGGCATTTAGCGCAGGGAAAGGTAAAGGAGACAGATAGTAACGTAAAACCAACCAGTGGAGCCTTCCAACAATCCCATGAAAGGAGTTGAGGAAAGAGAGGTGGTCGTGGTTTGGCATAACATTCTATAATCTGTATTCAAATTGGGGGATATTTATTATTCTAAAGCTGAAACACAAGCACTGTTCTGAGATCAAATGAATTGTCTAAGGATCCAACCTCACATTACTCCCACCCTCTCTTCCTGCATCGACATAACAGTCATACAAAAGAGGGGGGGGGGGCAGAAACCTGGCACACGGTGTAAGAAATGTTTAAGTGAAAATCTCAGCCGTCAGTGTTGCGCCACATCACTGCTTTCTCAACTCGAAATCTACGCAAATGTTATAATCAGAGTAATCTTAGTTGACGGATGCCATGTCGTCGGGGGCAAGTAGGCTATATCAGAATGGCAGGTTGTTAGTTTAATTTTAGTAGAGGTTTGACGGCGCTAGCAACTGCATACGGTCATATGAGCGCCAGAAGATTAGAAGTGTTACAAGAGAGTAACAAATATAAAAAAGAAGAAGGGGAGATAAGGACGATAGATGTCTGATAGGAAAGAAGAAGCAAACCACACAAGAGCACCTGCCAACCAACTTTTTTTCTGACATGGTCTGTGTAGAAAAATGTTCCCTGTCAGCATTACGAAGCAACTCTGCTGTCCAAGTGTACAGTGACGTAACTGCACATTGCACGATTTTGGGGGAAATCCCAACTTTTGACGCTTCGCCTGTTTTAAATTATGAATACTTCTAGACATTGTTGCGCGAAAACGTACGTACGTCAAGCTATCATAGACGATGGGATTGAGATCAATCATTTACGAAGCCTTACCTCTTTGAAAACTATTATTTGGGACGTAGATATGTCACCCTACCTTGGACACACAAAAACAATATTTATTAAGTGAAAATCTCAGCCGTCAGTGTTGCTACTGTAACAAAAAAAAATAAAAAAATAAAGCAATAGATCTATATATTTTTTAAAGAAGAAAAAACCCTCGACTTTTTCACATACGTTGCAATTCCGTGAGACAACAGCAACGCTCAAACCGTTGTCTCCCCTTGCAGCACGGCAACCTTATGGACTACCCAATTCACATAAACTAAACAATTGTCTTTCTAGGACGACATCTTGTGTATTTTGCTTTTTCTAATCTGCCCTCATTTCCCGCGTTGAAAAACCCTGATACCACTTTGCTTTTATGATGTTAGCAAACGATCCTAATATAATGCAGTGTACAATGCACTTGTTGCCTTGCCTAATGGAGATCCTTTTATTGAAACTACCAGAGGAATCCTTATGGACTATCCCATTTAACAAAATATAGAAATTTGTGGACCTGAGCAATCAAAGTCAAGGGGAAATTCATCGTACATCATGTATTCTACATTAATACTGTGTCATAGAAGTGCTCTATCCGCTCCTGCATCATCTTGCCGGCTGTGTTGTGCCAAAATCGCTCACTGCTGCCGGCTGTTTGAATAACATGGAAACCAATACGTGTCGGGTGATATTATATTATTATATCGTGGCATTCACACAACATGTGGGACATTCTGTTCAAAGAAAACTGGAAGAGAAACCTGCAAGCCGCTCCTGGAGAAAGGAAAACTCGACGACTTTAGCAGGTGTACGAGGCACGTATGTGAAGTACACGCTGATCACGGTTATGATCTGGGGGCGGTTTTTGTTTTCGTTTGCTCGTGTACATGCGCGAAGTTGGAGATGAGAGATTTGTCAGTGATACTTTGATTTTGTTTTATTTTTGTGGGTGGGGTGGGGGA